TTCCTTAATTTCATGTGTACATATATAAGGAGGAGAATTAATTCTATTAAACTTTTAGTATTACAAAATAGAGGCTATAAACAAATTCCTCATGAAGAATCAAAGATTTGATTTTTGCTAAGGCCAGTGGGGAATGTGCTAGCTAATTACTGCTTGGCTATCGCCCATGGGAACATAGGCTATCACCCATGCGAACACAGGTCATCACCCATGGGAACATAACATTCTAACAATAAGCTTTCTGCTTCTGTACCCCCGCTTGCACAACCAACCTGTGGATTGACAGTTAGTAAATAGAAAAAAATAAACCTTTGTGTTTAAGACAGAATGAGGAATGGGATTTAGGGCTTAAAAACCCTGTACCTCTACATTTCGGGGCTGCTTAATTTGGGGTCTGCGTACCCCTGGCAGACCCAGCTGGCTGAATAAAGAGTGTGTTTCCTATAACTCACTGGTTTCTGGTGGTCCGTGTGTCTTTCGGGGGCTGGCGACTACAACAATATCCAAAGATATTCAGCTTAATAAGCATTATTGAACATCCCGTGATCAGGCACTGTATCATGTCAGTGCTGGAGACATGGAGTCACGTAAAAGCTACAAATCCCTACTTTCAGGAAGCATACAGTCTAGTGAAGACACAGACACTGCAATGTGTTATGTAAGGGATATAAACAAAACACTAGAGAGAAAGAAGCAGTTAATGCCGTTCACAGAAGAGGTAATGAGTAGTGTAGATATTCTACCAAGTGGAGAGAGAAAGAAGCATTTCAAATTAAGCAAAGGCAAGGGGAGAAAAAAGACATCGGTGTGTTCATAGAACTGTAAGAAGCCATGAGAGGTTGTAATGCAAGATACAGGGTGCAAAGGAGACAAGAGGTGGCTGTGACACCAGCCTGGGACACACAGGTGCCTAGACCCCTGCTGCCCTGTTGACACTGACAATGGATGTTGTGGGAAAGAAACAAACTTTCCTCTACCCTCAAGGTTCTTTTGGTTGGTCTAATAATCAAATGGACATGAAACAGATTAGCAAGAGAAAATAACCAAATTTAATACATACATATGTTTGGGCATCCCACAAAAAGGGGTCAGAGATTCCCCCCACACGCACGAGAATTTCAGAGACAGGGAATATGGGCATGTGACCTTCTGAGCTATGGATGAATTAAGGTGCCTTGGGGGCTTTAAAGGGTCACTGCAAAAAGAGAAGAGATGTTTAGTAAATAGAAGTTCGCTCAGTCATACAGGCAGGTCAAAAAGAGATTATTGCTGATACACTCTTGTTATGGGCAAGGCCCCTACTTCAAATTCTTCTAGGTAAAAGGAGGGGCAGAAGTTTCTTTTGAGCCTGAAGCTAAAATTGCTCTTGGCTCAAAACAATCCAAATACCACAGAAGCATATCTTGGGGTGATTAGCTCTGAATCCCAACAGGGTGAAAGGCAGGCCCAAGCCTAAGGGGTTCACAGGTCACTCTTCACCTGGGGCCTCAAAAGCAGGCCTTCCAAGTGTTACCACCATCTGCCATCTTGCGGGGGACGACTTTCCTAGCAACTATAAATAAGTGCATGACAAGCCCAGCCTTTCATGTCCCATACTGGGAAACTGAAGACCCCCGGGGCAAGCTGACTTGCTTAAAACCAGGCGGTCATACAGACAAGGGCCAAAAAAGCGGCCTCTTGACTCCCAGTCAGGGTCTTTCGCCCCTTAGCCCCTTAGCTGGCACTACACTTCTTAGGACCTTAGCTTCCTCATTTTAAGAGTGGAAGGAAAGAACCTTCCTGCACCTCTACGAGTTTTTGGAAGACAATGAAGCAGAGGGGCGGGCAATGCTGGATGAGCATAAAGCAGCCTGAGTTTGCAAACACCAAAACCACACCTTCCTTCCCAGCCTTTCCACCGCTTGTACCTCCCTCGAACTTCCGCCTCCTTTCACCTCCTCTTCCGGCCAGACCGCCTCTTCCGGTACCTCCCCCCACACCCGAGAGCCACCGCCTTTTCCGGTCCCTCCCTTTTCCGGTATCCCCTCTTTTCCGGTCCGTAAGTGAGGCTCCCCTTCTTTAGGTGTGCTTTCCCCCGCCATCCCTATTGGTGGAAAATCCGAGCCGCCCCTCACGTTGCGGATAAACGTACTCCAGGTTTCAAATCCCCGGAAGTGACGATCAAAGGCACTCCTCTCCGGAAGTGACGACAGGAGTGCCCTTGACAGGCGGGGAGGGCTGGGCCGTCCGTCCCTCTGTTCGCGCTGCAGGGAGGTAGGAGGCCCTTGCGGGGTGACTCGAGGTGGTGTCGCGGCTGAGGCGTGCTGCGGGCGCGTTTCTAACGGGGCCGGCGGCCGAGTGGGTGGAGGCCCCCGGGGGCAGGACCTGCCCTCCGGAGTGCCGGGATCCCTGGTGACGTCCGATTTCCCCAGTTCCCTCCACACAGACGTTCCTTCTTTTTTAGTTCCCGCGTCACACCTGTTTCTGTGCCTTTTAGTTCCTCCTTGAATTGTTGTGGTTCCTCTTTCCTGACCCTTTGACAACGTCCCCCCCTTACACCTTAATTTCCCATTAAAACATTTTTTTAAAAATATTCAATAGAGTAAGGACTTTGCAGACGGCCTTGGATTCCAGTGTTGCGTCTCATTTAAAGTTGGGGGTTACTCTGAGCATGTGACATCTTAACTGAACCTCGGATTCCTTATCTGTAATACGGGCATTACTACACAAAGATTCTCACAGTTGATCTGGGAGGACTATAATGTAAGGCACTTGGCCTTTGAAAGGTGCTCTGTAAATACTGGTTCCTCTCTCCCTTCTATTGTAATTTCACCGATATGTGGAATTCTTTTTGGTTATCAACTCAATTCTCCTGTCCTGGTTTCCATTCCTTCTCTTTGATTCTCATTCTTAACTCACCTCTACTCCAGAAATCTTACATATTATTATTTCCTGGAATTTTGCTTCCAGTCTTGCATCTTGAGCCCCCCAGTACCCCAGTATCTTTTTTTCTGGTGTGTTGACTTCCTGTTTGCTGCAGCTCTTCCTGCCCTTTCCCGTCACAGATGGCTCAGCGGCTTCTTCTGAGGAGGTTCCTGGCTTCTGTCATCTCCAGGACGCCCCCTCAAGGTCGGTGGGCACCCCTCGCCTCCAGGGCCCTGCAGACCCCACAATGCAGTCCTGGTGACCTGACAGTAACACGCAGCCAGGCGCGGTCAATATATACCACCAGAGTCTGTACAACAACCTTTAACATCCAGGATGGGCCTGACTTTCAAGACCGAGTTGTCAACAGTGAGACACCAGTGGTTGTGGATTTCCATGCACAGTGAGTCCTGGGGATCAGGAGAAGACTGGGGTGTCACTTGTTCAGATATTTTTGAGTGTCTGCTATGTCTCAGTAGCACGATTGATGCTTCTCATGCATAGACTTACTACAAAGACTGGGAAGACCCAATCCCTGCTCTCAGAGATTGAGTGTAGTCTGATAGGAGACGTTAGTAAACAGTCTTCAAAACTCACTGTGATCCGTGCTGGGAAACACTTGTGTTCTGTATCTCACTGCCTGAATGGCTCAGAATCATTTTCAGCTTGGACCAAAGCATGAAAAATATAACTATAGCATCTTCTGGCTTTTGACACATACCAGTTTCCAGCCCTGCAGATAACGCTCATTTTATTTTAACATCTTACCACCAAAACTGGGAAGGGATGGTAAAAAGTTGGTGTCCGTGCGTGCAGGGGCTGGGCAGGAGTTTCTTTTCAGTGCCATATGAGTTTGTTTCCAGAATATTTAAATACCTGTGGCCTACTGGTTTTTAACCTGGCCTTCATTTCCAGACTTTTGGGGCCTGGCTAGACGCCTGGCTACAAAAAACTTAGACGAACCCCTCAAAATGAGACATTGTAGAAGGAGCCAGTGTAGCCTCAGTTACAAGTCTGGGCAAATATTTAACAGATTTTTTTTGCTTTCCTGTTCTTTCTCGGAGTCACCATGTCGCCTTGGGCTGTCCGCTTGATGTCCTTGTGCCTTCCTTTCTTCACTTGTAATAAGAAATAAGGTCTTAGAGACTGGGTTTTTAGGTGTTGTAAGTTCATGAATTGAAATCTCTGAGTGGAAAGGGTTTCGAAGGCTGAAAACGAAGTCATCAGCCAGGGGTTCGTGGAAGGCAGAGTTATGCTGCCTTCCAGGCATAGTGAACACTCCAGAGAGGGCTTCTAAAATGAATGATAAGTGGGGTGATGCTTCATTTTCTGCTCCAACAAGGAAGCAGGGTGTGAGTTTGTTCATTTGGTGCCAGTCACCGTCCTTAGTGCCTCATACCTGGGGATGATAGCTTGTTCTCAAAAAGCTTACCACCTAGAGAGGAGCACCTGTGTTCAGTGCAGTGATAGCCATTGACACCGGGCCTGGAGATCACAGAGTATCCTGGGGCTAAAAGAAGACACTTGGAACATAACCTCGGGTTGCAGTCCCAGCCGTGCTTCTCTGTGACCTTGCACAAGTTTCTTAACTCGTATGGGCCTCTGTTGCGTAACAAGATGTTTTCTTACCCTTTGCAGGGTGAGGGTTCTGTGTAGTTAAAACCGAGATGGCCCTGGCCCAGTGACTGGCATGTTGTAGATACTCCCGAGCCACCGGGTTCTCCTCCCTTTAGTTCTGAGTGGATGAGGTGTTTGAAGTAATCCTGCAGCTTACAGAGCATGTTTCCCCACTTGGCCTTAGTGGATTTCTCACCACAACCTTGAGAGGCTTAGTCTCTCTTTCAAATGGGGAAACCGGGGCCCACAATGGTCAGCTGTTTGGTCAGGAGCCTCTCTTTGAACTCAAACCTTTAAAATCTCATATTCTTCTATATGACAGTGCATTTCTTTTCTCTTTTTGACAGTGTATTTCTTTTAGATATACTGAAGTAAGCGAAATAACCTTTATAAAAGAGCCTTGGGATGAGGCCCGTGTTTTAGAAGTTAGGGACCTATGAGAATTCCCCAGTTGCAGAGTCTCCTGGCATAACCGTTTGATGTGTCAACATTATAGGTTAATAAAACACTGTAAACAGGTAATAAGGGCAGAAGTTCCCTCAGAAAGATACAGTCAAGGGAAGGTTCTGGAGAGACTGCAGATCGGTGGAGTTGAGTGCTTTTGTGACGGGACGCTTCCTTTCTCCCCTTCCGAGGTGGTGCGGTCCCTGCAAGATCCTGGGGCCAAGGTTAGAGAAGGTGGTGGCCAAGCAGCATGGAAAGGTGGTGATGGCCAAGGTGGATATTGACGACCACACAGACCTCGCCATAGAGTATGAGGTATGGATTGGTGGGATTGCGCAGGGCAGCAGTGTGGGGAATGCTTGGGGCCACAGGATAGCCGGTGTAAGACATGTTTTGAAGACCACCAGGTACCCTGTAAAGGGAGGTGTCGTGGCTTTTCTAGAGCTCTCAGGAGTTCAGAGCACTGTGCAGAGGTGACTCCATTGATCCTCTGAGCCACTTGTCTCGCTTTACCACCTTTCGGAAGTGGAATGTATAACCCAGAACACCACATGGTTCTCTGTCTCAGGACATCAGTGCATTCCTCCTTTCATGATCTCACCCAGCCACATGTTTAGCCAGCAGTAGTCTGCGAGCCCTGCAGTGTGCCAGGCATTCAAAACGCTTGGTGCAGAAAAGTTGAGCTCCCTGTCCCCAAGCAGCTCTTAGTCTCGTGGGTGGTAACAGTAAATAGACGTCATTTCAGCGTAGGGTGAGAAGTGCTGAGAGGTGAGATGCGCAAAAGTAGTCCCTCAACTGTCACTGTAGTACCACAGCGGCTATAGACAGTATATAAACAGATGGGCCTAGTTGCGTGCCAATAAAACTTTATTTGCAAAAACAGGCGGTGGCCTGAGTTTGGCCTATGTGCCATAGTTCCCTGATCCCTGTTTTAGATAATAAGTGCTATGGAGAAAAATCAGGAATAGGGGTTGGGAGTGCTGAGCATGGGACTAAGGGTTTCATTTCAAAAAAGGTAGGCTAGGGAAGGCCTCTATGAGAAGCCGACATCTGAGTTAAGACCTAAGAGAGTAAGGGGTGAAGCATGCAGCTTTTTGGAAGAGCGATCCAGGCAGAGCAGACATCAAATGCAAAGGCCCTGAGCTCAGGGTCTCACATGTTTACTCACAGAATGGCAGGGCCTGTGTGCCCAGAGCAGAGCATGCTAGAGGAAAAGGATCGGGAAATGTGTGGAAAGTGGGGCATCCTCTGGGCCTTGGAGACCACTGTAGTTAAAGCGCAGAGCTCCACCGTGGCTGTAGGCCGGAGTGAAGGGTGGAGCAAGGGGAGAAGACAGGCAGGTAAGAAGGCCAGTTGCAGCCATGTTAGAAGGCATCTGCATAGCCGTGCCGAGGATAGCACAAAGCCGTGGTCCCACCTGGTGGCCTGTGGGCAAAATCTAGCTTAGTGACAGGTTCGTCTGGTCCTCGCAGTACCTTTTTAAAATATTGGACCAGATGCTGATACTTAAAACTCAGAAGATTTCATGAGAAAATTCAGATTTCTGGTTCTCTTGAAATATCTGGATTTGGTCAGAATGAAACTTCATCCCTTCCTCCTTCAGGTAAGAAATGACTGAAAGAGGAGGCCTTTTGCTTTCTCAGAATTTGGAAGTCCAGGATCAGCTCCTACCAGACCCCATCAGATAGAGATGCCCATTCTCCAGCCTGTCCTCGTAGCAGGAAATGGACAGGGGCTGGGGTGAGAATCGGCTAGCTACCCTCTGATCTGGGGCTGGGAAAGATCACCCTGAGGAAATCAGGCTGCCCTGACCAGAGGCCAGAGCAGTAGGTGCTGGGATGACAAAGCCACCGATGACTGCTGCAGGTGGTTGGGGGCAGTTTCCAAAGACCATCCATGGCACTGGGGGACTGAGGCTGCTTACAAGAGCTTGGGTGGGGGGATGAGTCGGTTCTTTTCAAAGGCTCTCCTGCAGATCGTTCCGTCAGAGGGGTACTTGTCTGACCATTTAGACTCCCCTAGCTTTCCTTTCTTGTCCATCCGTCCCCCAGAGGCCCACAGCAGCTGCGACAGGGAGGCTGTGACCTCATGTGAGCTTAGGGCTGGAGATCATGGGCATCCCTAGGATGATGGACAGGCTTAAGATGTCTTAGGCTCCCTCCTGGCACTGCCCAATTCCACAGCTTCAGCCTCGGCCAGCGGAGCTTTAGCAGACACAATGTCAGCGCCAACCATGTGGCAGGAACTGTGATGACTGGTGCAGATACAGAGAAGAATAACCCGGTTCCTGCCACCTGTGTTTGCACAGTGGCGAGAGCTCTCAAGACCACTCCACCTGCGTTTCAGGGAGACCAGTGATGCAGGGTTGCACACCGAAGTCTTGTGGCTAAGCCTGGAAAGTGCGTGGGGGGCCCTCCCATAGGACCCCGTCTCTTCTCCCTCTGTCCACTGGCCAGAAAGCACGTGGATCACGCAGAAAGACCTCAAGGCTGTTGGACTCAGTCACCTGATCCCAACCTCCTCCCATCCCCCCCCACCCCCCCACCGTTTTACCAAGCACTGGGCAGATGTCATTGCAAGCTTAGGACACTCCCAACAGCGATGCTTCCTGACCCTCCCCCGGCCCCTTCCTTCCGTCACACCTGTGCTTTTGGAAGAGCCTGAGGAAGAAGCTTCAGCTAAGATCGCAGCCCGGGACAGCTTCCTCCAGGGCCTGAAGTGCTTTTCCAGCTGTTGGATAACTTGTTGGAGAAACTGCTTTAAATTACATTTAGGGATTCAGGTGCCTCTCCCCAAGCGCTCCTGGCAGCCCTCCTGTACCCAGCACCCCCTCAGGGTGGGTGTTCTTCCTCACACAAATTCCTCTTCCTTTGCATCACATTTTTTAAGCATAAAAAGTCAACTGTCCACCCTAGAATTTCATGTCTCCTAAAGGAGAGGGAAGGGAAAGTCAGTCGAGGCCTTGGGGTTCCACTGTCAGTTGCTACTCCACTCCCCCAGACTCTGCCGCCCTGTCTTGGGAAAGTGAGAGCTCTCTGCTCTCCCAGCTCCTGGTGTTTCTGAATGGTGGGCTTCCCCCCTGGCCCATTCAGATCTTGCCAGCTAAGGGGGAAATTGTGGATCTGGATGTGGACACTTGAGCCTTTATATTTTCCTCTGGGGCTTCTGCTTCTGACCTCACCCTGGGAGTTTTATCCTTTTATTTCACATCTTCTAGAGACTTCCCTTTAAAAAGCATTAGAAAAACAACCAAGTCTACGGCCATGCCACCCTGAATGTGCCCAATCTCGTCTGATGTCTAAAGCTAAGCAGGGTCAGGCCTGGGTAGTACTTGGACAGGAGACTACCTAGGAAGACCAGGTGCTGTAGGTGGGGAGAAAAGAAAAAAAGAAAAACAACCAAGTAACCATAAAGGGAAGAGTCTTCTAAGTTAGTGCTTCTCAAACATGAATATGACCTGGGATGTTGAAAAGCATATTAGCATTCGGTAGGTCCAGGATGGGTCCAAGATTCCACATTTCTAATGAGCTTCCAGGTGATGCCACTGCTAGGAATCTGGGACCAGACATCAAGGAGCAAAAGTTGTAAATCCCTGGCCGGCCTTCTAGGGGCCGTGGTGTTCCTGGTAAAGGCCCTTCCTACCCTCCATCACGGCACAGACTACCCGTCATCGAGAGGGTTCGCTCTTAGTGAAGTACATTTCATGGGTGTGGACGAATTTATGACGTGTTCACTGTTACAGTATCACACAGAGTAGCCTCACCATCCCGAAAGTCCCCTGTGCTCCACCGTTTCCTCCCTGCTCCCTGCAAAACCCTGGCAACCACTGACCTGTATACTGTCTCCATAGTGTTGCCTTTACCACAGTGTCATATAGTTGGATTTGATTTTTTCAATAATATCTTTTCCAAGAACCCTCCTGTATCCAAAAGCTTTTGCAAAGCATTTGGTGTTTCTCATTTGAAACCTGACATCCTTTTAATGCTTCTGCACATGTCCTTCCTAGCCCTGCTGGGACTCGGTATTTATCTCCCATTTCCATGCTCTTGGGGCAAGGTACGGAGTCACTTGATCGCTACGACACAGACAGCGAAGTCAAACAGAACTTGTTTCAGATCCCAACTCTGCCACTTAGTCACTCAGCTTTCATGCCTCAGTCTTCTCATCTCGAAAATGAGGCAGTCTATGAGAGAGCATGCACAAGTGGTTAGTATCATCCCTGACACTTGAAAAGCACCCAGTATGTGGCGACTTGGGTGACAGCAGTCTTTCCCTTGTGTTAGTTCTCCAATTAACGGAGGAGGTCTCCAGTCCCTTGGTAGGTCCTTAATAGGTGGGGACATTGAGCTCAGTGGAAGCACAGGCGGATGGGCCACAGATTCGTGGGAAAAGACCACACACACAACCCTGCCCTAAGTTCTCAGGGTCTTTGGCCAGGCCTGGGAGGCTCCAGGGGGCTTCGTGGCGCACGAAGAGAGGCGGCACATCTTAGCACATCTTTTCATCTTTTCCCCCGCCCGTCAGTTCCCTCAATGCTGTCACAATTGAGAGGGATGCTAGATTCCGGCCTTAACCGCTGCCCCTCTGAAACTTACATCACCGTCCAGAAGAATATGCCCAGGACCTGTGCTCTTCCATTTAAGGCTGGGTTTATAGGCACCAGCCCCTCCCGATTGTGAGCCAGACTCAGCATCAGCAAAGCCACATCCTCCTCCTGGGGGCGTGAGGGAAGTCCAGTCACAGCCCAGGTATCCCTGCAGTGTTCTGGGAATCTGGCATGCCCGTGGGTGAGTGGGTGAGTGGGTGTGCGTGCATGCGCTCAGACTTCAAAGAACGCCCTTGATCAGTAATAACTAGGCCTTAGTTGTCATGAAAATGCAGTCGCGACATGTCTGCCGTGCACTGGGCTGCAGCATCGTCTGCGTGTCCGAGCACACGTGCGAGTTTACGCAAGCACGATTGTAATGGGGCGCATCTGGAGTTCTTGAGAAAAACGGTCTCCTCCAGGCCACCTTGGTGGGTGTCAAGTCTTGCTTGGAGGGCACATAAAAACAATTAGGCCACTTCTCATACAATGACATGCAGCTTTTATTTCCATTAAGAAACAGGACAGGATGAGATCCAGTAAGGGCAAAGCTGAACAATTAATTGGTGCTTGAGCCTTGTGCCTCAGTTAAGAGTTGCCAGATTTGAGGCTGCTGTCTTCGCAGACCAGTAGAGGGCGCAAAAGAACAAAGCACTGGCCTTATACTCTCGCCATCAAACCACGTGCCTCAGTGACTTGGTGAATCCTGGAGCAGGCTTCTGGGCCCTGCCCGAGCCTGGAGACAGGGCGAGGTTCGTGCTGGACCCTTGCACTGCATGCCATCACCCGTGACAAGCACAGGAATCAGTGACGTGGTCTACCCACACATACCCTCTGAGAAGTGTGTCACCTGCCACTCACATCAACCCCAGAACGGTCCTTGAAGGGGTCTGAAGGCACTAAGGAGGACAGGGGCTGTGTTTTCTTACCTTCCGCATTTGTCCCCAGAGCCCATTAGGAGACAGGAGACGGGTGCAAGGCCTGCCACGCGAAGTCTGTGAGTGCGCGATGGCACATAGCCGAGATGTGAGCTGTGAGATTGGGCCAGTCTGGCCCGTGGTTCTTTCTGTGTAGCTGCCGTGTACAGTTGGGACATTTTAAATCTTAAGTCTGGCTTCCCCAAATGACTCATGGGCAGGATAGCACTCGGGACATGTGAAATCTGGTATGTTTGTGTAAATCACTGTTGTTACTTTGTAGTTAACTTGTGTATAAGAAAAGTCTATGTTTATCTTGTTCTGTTTATATATTTTTTTCAAATGGCCACAAATGCCAGGCAGGGAGCCCAGGGAACAGATAATACTCAATGCCAGAGTGTCATGGGCCTTATTTACATACCATGTAATCTGTACGGGTCCCCTGAGGGAGCTTGAGAAGATGCTTCATGGGCCAAGAATGTTGCCTATAACCCCCATAATAAATAAACGTCAGGTCATACATGGCTGAGTCCCTCCTCCCACACTGTCCACTATGAGTCAGTGACTTTCTGGACCCTGTTACCCATCACGGCATTGACCTAAAGTGGCTCACGTGGGGCCCCGTGTCAGATTTTTCTGATCTGCCCTCTGCAGCCACCATTTGCCGAGTGCCCTCTGTGTGCCTGGCGTCATGCCAGCGTCTAACTCTGCATGGCCCTGCCAGGTGCAGGGCACTATGCCGAGAGCTCACACACATTATCTCAGTCAGCCCCTACATCCCCTTGTGTAAGTACCGTTAGGATCTCCGATTTGCTGATAACACTGAGACTTAAGAGTGGCAAAGTGGCTTGCCCCGAGTGGCCCAAGGTGGGGTCAGTCAGCTCCATAGCCCGAGCTCCTAACCACTCAGCTTTGTATGTGAACCTTTAATCCCTACGCTAAACCCTCAAGGTAGATACTGCCATCCCCATTTAATCGAGGATCTGAAGATGGCCTGACCTGGCTGAGGCCCCCAGTTAGTGAGTGGCAAAGCCAGGATTCACATTCTCCCATCTGGTCCCCCCTGGGCCAGGCTGCCCCTCCGGAAAGTTCCCTCAGCCCCCAGCTCCGCCCCACCCCTAGCGCTGGCCTGCAGCTGCAGGGTTATTTTAATCTCTCCTGTCATTCCAGCCAAACCACCGGGCCAGTGAGTCAGGCATGCGGTTGGGGAAGGAAGGGTACTTCTGGGAGCCCGCGATGGAAAAGCTGCTCCAGTGGGTGGGACCCCTGCACCAAGGGGAGGGGCCCCACCCGTGGCCTTGGGCAGAGACTGCCCTGCATAAGCCACCATCCTTCCCCACAGAGACTTGGAACAGTGATTGAAGAGTTCTCCTCTGACTTGGCCTCCCTTGTCCCCTCCATCTAGGTGTCAGCTGTACCCACTGTACTAGCCATCAAGAATGGGGACGTGGTGGACAAGTTTGTGGGCATCAAGGATGAGGACCAGCTGGAGGCCTTCCTGAAGAAGCTGATTGGCTGACAAGCAGGGAAGAACCCTGATTGCCCTTGCCTACTGGGGCCCCATGGTCCCGGGAGGGCCCCCGGTTGAATTCACAGCCCTCTCCCGGCCCTTCCTGCCTCTCTCTTCTGTCTGGCCCCTGAGGGCCCGTGCTCTGGAGACCGGGCCTCCAAACATGGAGCCTTGAGTGCTTCCAACCCAGCTGACTGCCAGGGGAGTGATGCTGCCACTGATCTGGGGACAGCTGTCTGCCCACCCACTCTCTTTTTGTCTGCTCCTTCTAGGGCTGTCAGTTCTCCCAAGATGCTTGGAGAGAGCCCCGGGCCAGCCCATAGTGTTACTGTTCCAGCAGGAACAGCTTGGTCCTCGTCTCCCCCAGTCCCTTCTGATCTGAACCCCAGTGCCTGGCTCATCTGCCTCTTGCACTTTTCTTTCCTGCTGTTTTTTTTGTGAAAAGAAAAAGAAGGAAAAAAAGAAACCTAAACAAGTGAGAGTAATATATAATTCTCTCATTTTTTTTAGGTCTGTAATAAAGAACCTTATGTGGTCCCTTCTACCTCCTGCTGTAAAGAACAGACCTTGGGCCCCACACTAAATTATCCTGTGGCCACCCCGCCCCATCCACCCCCCAAGAGCCACCTCCCTTCTTTCCTCCCAGCAAACATGCCTGGGCTGAGGCATCCTGCAGACCCTTGGCTCGAAGTCTCCAGATGCCACCCTCCCTCACCATTAACTGGCCCTTTGGTTCTCTGAGCAGGTGGCTTCACTGTGAACAAACCGGACCAATAAAACTGCGGTTTGCACTCTTAACAGCTTCCATTCTGTCTCGGCTCTGGGGACACTTGAGACCCCTTTCCAGGCCGGGATACCCCCCCACCCCCACCCCTCCGCACCGTTTCCTCCTCAGATTCTCCATCACCCGCTTGCCCTTGACAAGCCCCTCCTGTTACTAACATCTGTCAGAGGTGGCCACTGCTCTGGGGACACTTTCACATATAATAAAGCAAGAGGATGTTGTCCCCATTACACAGATGAGAACACTGAGGATCAAGGGCACAAAGCCAGGCTTTCTACTCATAGTTCCCTCGGAAGCCTGGGGTTTTGCAACTGGTCCCCTTGATCCTTCTGGGGTCATCTCTACTGACTAGCACGTGGCCACTCCCAAGGGGAGCCTGGACGCTGAGGGAGCCAGCTGGCTGGTCTTCCTGTGTGTGGTACAGGAACTGCTTAGCCTTGGAGCCAGGCTCTCTGCCCCTTCCTGTTCCCGGCTCCCTTTGGCTCATGGAGGAGGGGCTTGGCTTGCCAGCTGAGGTGCCAGCTTCCCATAGACAGCAGGGTTATCCTGGCACCCTCCCCCTGGCCCTGAGGTGCTATGTCTTCTGCCATGTGCATTCTCTTCAGTGGCTCACCTATTCCTCTTGGAACTGCCCGAGTTACTCTGGGCTCTTTGCTGGGTCGTCCCGAGGACTGCCTTGGGAAGGCTGCCTTGGGAAGACAAGCAGGAGAGCAGGGTTGTCTCAGAAATAGGGCCCGTGGTCTCTGAAAGACTGCAGGCCCAGGATCTATGAAAGGCATACGGAGGGGAAATAAACCAGCAACTGGCATGAGTGGAGAAAGGCCAAGAGCCACGTGTCAGATGAAAGAGCAGCGTGGAGCACTTCCGGGGCGCCAGGCACTGTTCCGAGTGCCTTGTGACAAGCAGGAGAGGAGGGTTGTCTCAAAAATAGGGCCCGTGGTGTCTGAAAGACTGCAGGCCCAGGATCTATGAAAGGCATACGGAGGGGAAATAAACCAGCAACTGGCATGAGTGGAGAAAGGCCAAGAGCCACGTGTCAGATGAAAGAGCAGCGTGGAGCACTTCCGGGGCGCCAGGCACTGTTCCGAGTGCCTCACCCCACAGCGGCCCCACCAGGTGAGCATTATTTATTGTTCCTTTTTACATCCGAGGCCCACCCTTGTCCACAACTGTGAAGCCCACAGGTACCCGGGCTGGGGTTCAAGGCCAGGCAGTCTGTCCCCTCCTCCTAAGCTTCCCCCGTCATATTACAAAATGTAGTGTATGCGTGATCTTAATCCCACAGCCAGCTGACAAGCAGGTCGTGTCAGCTTATTTTACAGAAGAGGCACTGAGGCCAAGTTTTCAAAGACACCTGGAGAGTAAGGGGTGGTGCCAGAGTTCAGAGCCCGGGCCCTTTCCACTGTACCCAACTGCCACTCCTTAAAAGGTGCCCTTTGCCAAGCGATTTCTACACGCATTACCTCACTTAATTCTTCTCTTGTGAGGCAAATATTATCTCCATATCACAGGTGAAGAAACCAGTTCAGAGAAATTGACTTGCCCAAGGTCATGTCTGAAGAGTAAGGATGCCAGATTTGAACCCAGGTGGGGGTCTGGCTTCTCCTCCGGGTAGGTGTGGAGAAGGGCTGGCAAAAGCCTCGGAGCCGGAGGCGGGGCTTCTGTGCTGCCCTGAGCTCCCTCTCCTTAGAAGGGGTGCTGCGGCCTCCCAGGTTGGCAGGCACTGCTTGCAAGGCTGCCCCTGGCATGAGTCACTGGCTGTGCGGGCACAATCCTCAGGGTGACCCTGTTCGACTAATTCCATGGTGCTGACCTCACTGGGACACTGCTGGCTGTGCATCGTCAGCCCCACTGTTGCCTTCGGGGTCCCACCTCGGGCCCCTGGGCCTGTGGAAGAGGGCTTGGCAGTGCAGCTGCAGGGCCTGGCGTTCCTGCCTGGAGTGAGGTGGGGGGGCGCAGGGGGACTATGCCCAGCCCCTCTAAAGCACAGAGCCCTGCAGAAAGCAGGAGAAAGGGGGTGTGGCTTCTAGATGCTTATTTTCCTGATACAAGAGTTTATCCAGTTGGCCCGGAGGCAGGAGTCGGGAATGGAAGCCTGAGTTTGCGGTGCTGGCTCCCTTCTTGTGTCCTCTGCTGTCGTTCCCCGCCAGGCCCCTGCCAGGCAGGAATTCCCCACTTCGCAGCGAGCAGACTGAGCTCATCATGGTGTCAGTGGAGTGGCTGAGGAGCCCCTTCAAATACGAGTGCTCATCATCAAGGCGTTTTGAGCAGCATTTGGGTCGATGATAACGTGGGTTCCTGTAAACATGCAGAACAAAGGAGGGGAACTGTGCCCTCAAGAAGCTTAGACTCCAAGACGGCAGCGCAAGGGGCTGCAGGTCCCTCCTGAACTCATGTCAGAGCCAGAGGGACCTCAGGTATCCAGTCTCCCTCATAAGGGCATAAGGAGAGGGTGACTAGCCCAGGTCACAGTGTGTTTGTGATAGGGACTTGAAGCCAAGTGCCCTGACTGCAGCCAGCCCTAAATTGGAAATGAGTCAGGGCCTTTTCTTCCCTTGGCTTCAGGGGAGGTGAGAGAGGAGGGCAGGGTCTGGGGCCAGGACCTGTTCGGTCAAGGGGATGTTGACAGTGCCGTGGCCAGTGCCCTTCCCAGCAGTCCCTGCCCAGTGCAGGGGGCCTGGGCCCAGCTCACGCCTACCCTAGCTGCCTGGGGAAAGCGTCTCCGGAAAGTGAAGGTAGTTTTGGCCAGGCCACCGGAAATCTCCAGTGTGTGGACCCGGGGCTGGGAGGGTCCAGAGAACAATGTCAGGGCGAGGATGTGTGGGACACGCAGGGCTTCCAGGCACGCTACAGCAGTTCCTCCCCGCCGCCTGGAACAGCAGTTGCAGGCGTGACCCTGAGCCCCAGGCCCCAGGCCCGGCTTCCATGGCTCCCTCGGAAATCTGGGCTGCTGGTTATTCCAAGGAACCGCGCCTCTCCATCTGCCTCCCGACAGCCTTTTGGAAGCTGCAGGCCACCACTGGGCACTCCGTCATGGTGTAAGGAGGGCAGGAAGAATCGGATCTGGGTTAAAGTCCTCACTTTGCCACCTACCAGTTGTGTGGCCTTCAGCAAGTTGCCTTGCCATTCCGAGGCTCCGTTGTCACATCGGTAAAATGGGGGTGGTGATGGCTGGTACTCGCTGAGTGCGTGTTACATGCGTCATCTCGCTGTCTTCACGACAGCCTCAAGAGGCAGGGACTGCCATCTCCATTTTACAGGCGAGGAAACTGAGGCCCAGAGAGCTTAAGAAAGTCAGTATTAACAGGTGTGAGAGGTCAGATTGGCATTCAGGTGTGTTTGA